GACAAATACTGTATGTTTTCACTTATATGTAGAATCTAAAAAATAAAGCAAACGAATGTAACAAAATAAAAACAGACTCACAGATATAGAGAACAAACAAGAGGTTACCAGTGGGGAGAAGTAAGAGGGGAAGAGCAAGACAAGCGTAGGGGATTAAGAGGTACAAACTACTAGGTATAAAATAAATCAGATACAAGGATGTAATGGACAGCACAGGGAATATAGCCAATATTTTATAATAACTTTAAATGGAGTATAATCTATAAAAATATTGACTCACTATATTGTATACCTGAAATTATTATAATATTGTAAATCAACTATCTTTCAGTTTAAAAAAATAGAAAGAAAGAAACCACATCAGTGTTGAGGATCACCAGGACACAAGAGACCATGGGCGCCATGGCTACAGTCTTGGAGAAAATGTTGGAAATGTGGCATCTCAAAGATTCTAGCTCAGTGGTTAAGTGCACACTTTGTGAAGCCAGACTTCCTCAGTTAAAGGAGGCAGAGTGAAAAGAGGGGGAAAGCAGCAACCTATTTTATTAACCTGTAACTTAAAACCAGAACTTCTATTTCATGTTGGGAAATTGGCCATTAGTTTTCTTGTTCTTATAGACCTTTGTTCAAAAGGTTATTCTCGTCCCAGAGAGCACACCTGTTTACAATGTGCCTATTGTAAATGGTTGTTGATACTCTAATAATTTTAAATTTTCATAGAAGCTACCAGAGCAAGGCAGAGCCAGTCGCTGCTAAAGGGTTCCTAGTGATAAGGCAGGGAACAGCGATTCCCAGAGAACTTCCAACTAGACCACTAAAACTATCAACACTTATTTTTATAAGTTCTAGATTACCATTGTGTTTCTTCTTTTTTCTTAGGTGACCTTGAACAGAAATTTGAACTGGAAATCAGTCCTCTTTGCAATCAACAGAAAGATTCAATCCCTAGTATACAAATTGGTGAGCTGAATTCAATTTTAATTTCAGATGAATAGTTGTGGCACCGCTGCCGAGAGTCACCAAGATCTACACATGGCTTTCAAAAACCCAAACTAGAGCCCTTTTGAATGGCTGAGTCCAGATAAACCCTCTAATCATGACTAATCTACTAGGTAGTTACCAATTGAGAAACTATGAAAAACAGAGTAAAAGCTTTATTATAGATCCTTAACTAACCTGTATTAACTTTATAGTTCAGAATTGAATCTAACCAAAATAGAGTAGAGGAAAGTAACAAGAATCAATTATTAGCCGAAGGTTGGATTTGCTCACACTCTCTTTGAGACTTAAGGATGCAGTTTAGAATCTTTCCAATCTGGTCACTACTCTTCATCCTCAGTGCGCAAACCCAAGGGCTCAGTCCTCAAGCCCAGGCCCGGCAAGCCATGCTGTCCCATGTGGCCTGGGTCCCATGCTCTTCTACTCTTCATTTCAAAATGTATTTTCAGTCTCTTTCTCTTAGGTGTCACTTACAGTAAACTGTTAAACTGTGATGTTAATGCACCTAAAAGTACTATTAGTTTCTGTCACTCCTTGAAACACACTACCAATTCCATCTACATTTAAAGCAAGTCTTACTTTTCCTTGTAATTCCTCCAATTAAAACCAAACTCAGAACTTTAGCTCTCTTGCTTAAAATTATGGCCCTGATATGTACCAGTTCATGTTTTTCACCAGTTCCCACAGACCTCAGACAGTGTAATGCATTCACAGTCCTGCAAACCTCTGCAAGACTCAAGGCTTTATGCCTTGAAATTGAGGGGGAAAAGGGCACCCAAAAAGATCAACTGAAAATTAAGAAAACCGTATCGAGCTAAAATGATATGCTTCCAATTACTGAGGGTCACAGTGAATCCACAGTCCCACAAACAAGTCACAAAGTCATCGTAAGGAAGTAGGAACAAAATTAATCTAGTTGAAAAATATAAAGCGAATATACAAAGATTATAAAGACATGTTGGAATTATGAGATTATTGGTGCTCTTTTTTTCCCCTTTGTTTCCCTTAACATTGTTTTCCCTTAATAGTGTTATGCTCTTTTTGCAATTAAACCGATTCTTCCACCTGTAAAAGGGAGAGAGGTGCTACGAAAAAATAGAACCCAGGAAGAATCCATCTCCTATGAAGCTACAGAATTGCTGGCGATGGGGCAGGAAGGGCAGCCGCATCAGCAGAAATACAGCCTCAGCCTCCTTGGATGCAGTACCCTATCTGGTTGTGTTAGTTGTGGAAACTCTGCAGATGTGATTCAAAAGGAATAGATCCTGACCAAAATCCTAATCCTGAGACCCAGTTCGCTATACTCTGGCTAGAAAGAAATTTGCCAGGCATCTGTTAAAGACATTTTGAGCCCCCAAAGAAAAGCATTCATATTGTTAAAGCACACAACCCGGATTTGCAAGAGAGACTTGATTTCGGAGATTCTATCCTCTTGTTGTCATGAGAACACACTTATTTTGTCAGATCATATGTCCTGCTTTTCAGCTCAGGAAAATGTGGTTACCATAGATACCTGTTTTTTAAATGGGATGGGGATTGAGTGAAGAGGAAAATCCTATGGATGCTACACCAGCACACCAATAGTAAAAAGAAAGAGGTGATTATAAAACAACCCTTAGTACCAAAATCTTACTGTCTCTTGTTCCACATCTCCCAGCTTTGTAGGTTCAGGGCTGGGAGGTGTCGTGTGCAGGGGTAGATCAGGCTAAGCTGGAAAAACCCAAAAGGATGAACAGAGTCTAATGGGAGCTGTGGGCTCCAGCCTCCCAGACAGGGGTTTTTCCAGTGGGTCCTAAACTTGCAGCTTCTTCCTCTGTCCTGATTCCACTGGGAATGAAAAATGTCCCCTCTCTTTCTCCTTTCCCAGTCCACAGTGAGGATTTCCTGAGCACCATCTCAAGCTTAGATCTGATGTTGTGTTTAAGTAATTCATATTTACCCGAATGAAACAGCGACTTAATATCCACCCCTCCACACATTCCTCCCCTGTCTCCATCAAACTCTGTATTTTTAAAAAAAAAGGCAATCTCTAATTGGTGAAACCTATAGAAAGGTGAGAAGAAAGAGGTTTCCCTTGATCCCTCTGGAGCCACCATTTCTCCCTTCCCCAACTCTCACCCCTCCAGGAGGACAGTATCCCAGCAAGGTCAGGTTCTACGTCACTTGAGTAGAAGAGGGACGTTGGCACAATATGCTGGGAACCTATGGAACAGGCTCCCGAATCTGATTGTGCAGAAGCCTTTCTTCATTGGGAAACTGCCTCACGGTGCCTATGCAGGCTTGAAAATCACTCTCCTCTCTCCAAATGAGGTCTTAATGTCTGACGAGTAGAAACACAGAGGTGTAATTCCAGAATAATTTCAGGAAGAAAATTAGTTGATTTTATTTAAGTATTGGGTTTTTAAATGTGGGATTTGTACCTATTTTTTATTACTTAAGTAACCCTGATATATATTCACACCTTAAACTTTAGAATAATAAAATATTGCAAAGTATCCTTTTAGATACCTAATATCTAATCTCACTTAAGATGAAAGACATTCGAAATTCAATATGGAGACTGTGAAGGAGGTGAAGAAAATTCAAGAATAGCAAGCAAGAACATTCCAGAATGTAATCCTTACTTCCTGTCTGCCTGCATAACCTTATCAACAATGTAGACAGCAAGTCGCTGGCTTAACTCTCCTTCTCAGGTTCAGGTTATCTAAAATAATCTTATAATATTTAAATCATACTTCACGTCTGATGAGATGATGCAGACATGTATGATAACATTTTGCATTGCTGCATCCTTTTGCAATCTCTACAGCATCCTCAGAGGCCACGTATCTGCTGTCTGTCCAACAGAAAGATAATCAAATCAAGCCTTATAATTCACATGCCTGTAGACATACAGGGTTAGTTGTTGGAAGATTTTGTTATGCTGAAAAACATTTGCCTTTTCTCTGCATACCTACATTTCAGGGAAATAGAATAAAACCTAAATATATCCAAGGCTGTGATGAGTCCAATAATTCCAGCCTAAACTGGAAGTTACCTTTGCTTTAATAAATCACGGCTAAATGAAAGCACATTAAGAGTGAAACATGATTAGAAAGCAACAAGGCTAAAAATAGTTAAGAGAACAGACAGGCAAACAAAGTAGTTTAATATCAGCCAATCTTATCTCGTCATTCAAGCAGAACTTTGATGCAGGTAAAAATTTGTCTTGACGATAAATGAACTTCTATTACCTACACTTAGTTATTTAACATAATTGAAAGCAAGACAAAACAGTGAAAAAAATAATTCTGAAAAGAACATCCTACAGGGTAAATGTGTGAATCCTTCAGAGGGTCTCAGCCAATGGTGTGCCCCTTCCTGGTAGCATCTGCTCTTTCCTCCCGCCGCCCCCACCCTCTTAGTTCTAGCAGAGACTTTGTTTTAGCTTTTTTGTTTATATGTCTTTCTCCTTCAAATAATAATGGCCAATATTATTGAGTGTTTTCTAGGTGCCAGGAGCTTTCTAAGCATTTCACATATGTTAATTCATTTCATTGTCATAGCAACCCTATGGGTTTGATACCTTTCTTAATTCGTTTTCATAAAACTGAGGCACAGAGGTTAAATGTCAGGCCCAAGATGACGTATGTTACTAAACTGAAGGCAAGGACCCCGCCTTGGTGGCCTTCATACCCCAGGCCGAAAACGTCCTGGGCCCAGTGTGTTTGTGAGGGAGGAAGAAGCAGGTCCTCCTTTCCTGCTGCTGCTGAGTTTGGCCTTGCCTGTTCCAGGTTTCATGACCTACATCGTGGAGCCCCTGTTCCGGGAATGGGCCCGTTTCACGGGAAACAGCGCCCTGTCTGAGAGCATGCTCGGCCATCTCGCACACAACAAAGCCCAGTGGAAGAGCCTGTTGCCCAAGCAGCACAGAAGCGGCGCCGGTGGCGATGGCGGGGGCGGCGGCGGCCCGGACCCCCGCCCGGGGACTGAGGACGAGGAGCCTACCGGGACCGAAGGCGACGCCGCGTAGTGCCAGCCCCGCCCGCCCCCTGCTCTGCACACTGAGAAGGACCGCCTCCTGGAGCAGAGGCCTGGGAGAGGGCAGCAGCTCGGAGGGGCTCCGGCCGGCGACCCAGCCGGCCCCTCTCTGGGTGTGGTCCTGGGGCTCTGGGGAACGCCCCCTCCTCCACTTCCCCGCCTCCCTCCTTTCTCCAAGTGTACAGAAGCCATTGTCACCTCAGCATCAGCTGCCCAAATGAGCAACTCCATTCCGCAACGAGGGAGCCGATTCCAGGGGCCGACTTGGCCCTCGAGGAGAAGACCCGGGAGTAAGAAGCGGTGCTTCGGCCGCGGCCCCCTCGGCCCTGGGTCCCACTGGGACAGGCAGCACCTCCTAAGTCCAGAGCATCTTCACGTGTGCCGTCAGACTGCTGATCTGCATGACAAAACACCAGCATATTTGGAACTCCAAGGATATTGGTCTTAAGTGCAAGAGCACAAACGAGAGCGTTAGAGAAAGTACCTTCTATTTTAATAATAATTATTATTATAAAAAATAATAAATCTTTTTAACTTTTCTATTGTATGCACTCGATAGTGGATCGAAAACTTTGGACTAAGATTACTCAATGTACCCAAACTCGAACAGGGGGTTCATTGTTTTCTTACAGACTTTATGCCACTTTGGGTCAGAGATTTGGCATCTTCTTGGTTTAAGAAACCACGTTTCCTATCCGATCTGAGGGGAAGGTGCTGTACAGTTCATTCCTTTGCACCATTAGCCCACCTGCCTTTTATCCATAACTCAGATTCAGTGACATGTTTATATTCCCACCTGTACATTTTCTGTAAATACTGAGCGCTACTGATTCCCATGCCAAAATACAAGAGTATTATGGGATTGCTACCTGTATAAACAATGGCACTGTGAACAGAATCCTGTTAGTTTTAATACAAGAGAATGCATTTGTAAATATGGTATAGAGTCTATTAATATACTATTGTTTGCAGATAAAGGCCTTAACTTTAAACATCTTTCATCTTCTGAAAGCTGCCCAACTTAAATCCTCACAGATGTCCTTCTGAACTGCCTTCCCGTGTCCGTCTTTACGCTTTCCAGCTAAGGTCACAAAGCAAAACTGAATAAAGTCTTTGAAGAAAGAGTTTGGAAACTTCACGTGCATTCCGCTTGCGACCATAGTGCTCAATCTATGGCGCCAAGCGCCGTGTCCTCAGATGAACAAGACCCTTCAGCAAGCCTGGAGTCTCCTTTCAACACAGTGACGTTGCACTCTGTTTAAACAAGCCAGCTGATAAACTTGTGTTTATACGACTCTGGTCATGGAACATGGTGGTGTGTCAGCCTCGTGGGACACATAGCAGGTCTCACACCCCTTCTGTGATCCTGTCATCTGTCAGGGACTTCCCTGCTCCCCTGCCGTCTCTTCTGGCTACAGTACCAAAGCACCTTTGGTTTATGGTTGGCGTGCATTTCTTTGGTGTTAATAGTAACTGGATTTTTCTTTTTCCTTCATTTCATGTGAACAACTACCCAGCTGTTTAGCAGAAGTTAACATAATTTAAGTAAAGAAAATATTTCCGTTTTCTGATAGGATTTACCTTCCTGGCAGGTGATCGTGGTGAATTGAGGCTCTGGCTAGCAGAGTCACCTTGGAATTTATTGCCGTTTCTTCTGCAGACACTTGGCCATAAAATCAACTTGTTATAGCATTCTTCTCTAGTCGGCTACCCTCTGTGCATTGAACCTTTTCTCTAGAAGTTCTAGCATGACTAATGGCAGATGAAAATTGGCCATGTCCCATTTCTTTTTAGCTTAACCAACATGGTAGAAAGAGAATTACAATGTGATTGTTTCTACTGCTGCCAAGCTGTTTCGCAAGCTGATAAAACATCAGCTAACTCTCCCTCCCGAAGTGCAACTCTTTTTTTTTTTCCCCTCCTAACATACAAATGAAATGTTAGAAACTTGACTGGATTGTATTAAGTTCCAGCAGGGAGACCGAGGCTTGCTGAGTTAAGGTTTAGAGGAAATTTGGAAAGTTGGTTGTATTTTCATTCAAGTAAGAGAGATTATCGGATGGTACTAAAGAAAGTGTGAAAACCTCATGAAATGGGTGGATGATAAGTTGAAATTGTTGATGTGGGTAAGAAGGCAAGTTATAAAAACTTAACACTAACTTTGGGTTTTGGTTTGGGGGATTTTTTTCTTTCCTGTAATAACTATGAACTGACACACAAGTCTTTATTGCTTTAATACTCTGAAGCTCTCGGCTTGGTGAGGCCCCAAAAGAGAACGTATTGAATGTATTTCTGCTTCCAGACCTCTCTTATTTTGATTTGGTGATGCAGAGGGCATTTCATAATCTATTTTTAATATACATGAGATCAAATCAAGGAAAGCGGTTACTGGGGAGGATACAGTAGCGATAAGAAAGAAGATGCCATTTTAGCTAATGGAGCCTCTACTTTGAGTTTAGGAGATGGACTTTGTTTAAACTATATTTATATCATAATTTAAATAAACAAGATTGGAGGCCTTTTTAGTAGTTCCAAGTTTATAGGACGAAAGTATGTTAGTTCTTAAAGAAGAGCTCACAGAGAAAACTACCAAATATCTAACAATTAAGCCTAGAAAGCAGCCACTAGTACAATAAAATTCTTAAGGAAAATAAAATGTGATGCATAAACTATATCCATTTGTCTCCCTTCAGCCATCTGAAGATTTCTTGAGTTCCTTGTTTTTTGACAAAAAAAAAATGTGAAAACTTTTTTTTTTCCTGCCTCTAGTGACTCTCTTCAATATCTCAAAAGAAGGAGTCCGATTACTGGTTAAGACACAGCTGTTGGGTCATCTGTGGACTTGATCTTCATGTTCTTCTCTTAGTCCATGGACCGGTAAAGAGCTGACTTCCCAAGTTTAATCCTTTCAGTGCTTGAGGAGAGAGGTGTCAAAGGGCTATTTTTAGTAAGTGAAAGGTAAAGTCAAAATCGAAGAGAGAGAGAATAGATATCACTGCCAGGCCTGATAGGCAAAGCCTGCTTTTCCTTTTAACAGCACCTGTGAGTAGTCAGAACCCTGTTCCTGAAACCCTGACTACCCCTAACTCCCTGCTCGGCTGAGTGAACGTCCCGCTCTGTTCCTACCTGCCCAAGGCTTCCTGCAACGGGACGTGGAGCGTGTCCTGCAACACTGTCCCCAGACAGTGCTTCCTGCAAAACACAGGCTTGTTCTCTAACCTTTTCTCGTGCTGAATCAGATCTGCTCACTGATTGAACATTGGTTCTGAGCTTGTATCTCACTGTATTTCTTATGCTTTGTTCTTTTAAGCAAACTCTTAAAATTGTGTTGTTTTGTGTACACACATGGGGTTTGGGGGGGAAAAAAAATACCTTGTGAGTTTCTGCTCAAAATGTGGCCTAAATAGCCATTGGCATGTCTAGATAAATAATTAAAAATAAAGATAATTTCTTTAAAATATCACACTATGAAAATATCCTGATTCTCACCAGGTAACATGTTACCAGCCAACCAATCAGATTCACGGTCAAGGTCAAGAGCACAGATGCAGACATGGTCCAGGTGACTCATTCCACTGGGGGGTTGTAGAAACAGCCATGTCAGTGAAACCATTATTCACCAGTCAATGCCAAGAGAAGGGAAAAAAGGCCACCGTTCAGCTCTGCATTTCCCCTGAGCCCTGATTTTTTTTTCTGATCCACATTTGTCAAACTCACATATGAATGAGAATCGGGTACAATGTTTTACATTGTGAAAACATAGCGGACTCAATTCAAGAATTACTTGTGAAAAATATGGTCTTGCATTTCAGGATTGGAAGCCACCAAGAACAGTAGCAGAGTTCAGGCAGGAAAGCTGAGAGTCTAAATCTATCTGGAAATGGAGGAGATTAAAAAAAAAACACTAATCACGTTTCACAGAAACAGTGTTACATCTTTACATATTCTCTTCATTCTTATTCTCTTCAATAAGATTTGTATTCGGAACCTCACTGATTCCTTAGTGCTTCCCCATGTCTGACTATAAAGTCACTTTTTTAATTTGTCAACATTCTATATCGTTAAATCAAAATCATAGGTGGTTTTCCAAGTAAAGTTCAGGCATGACTTTCAAATGTACCTGGGAACCTAACAGAAGCATTGTCAAAAAGGCCAAGCCTACGTCAGTAAATTGAACTTAATTCAACAAATATATGATTCAGGATCTACTATGTGCCAGAGGTTGTGCTAAATACTTGGGATACAGAAATACCCAGTCCCTCCAGAAGCTCACAGACTTGGGTCAGAGATTGGCATCACCAGAGAACTCTTCTGGGAGATTTCCTGAGAACGTCAGTGAGAGCTCGGCTCCTGGACAACAGCGTAATGTAACACAGATAAGCTTTGGGGAGAGAAGTGGTCCCAATCTTGATTCTGTCACTGACTTATTCTGCGACTTCAGGCAAGTTAGTGAACCTCTACAGATTATTTCCAGACAGTCACATCTTTATGCTTTTGTTGTGGCAGTTAAGAGAGATTGCTCACAAAAAGCACCCAGCACTCTGGTTCATGATTGGCTTTTAAGAGATGCAAGTTCTCTCCTCTTAAATTAAAAGATGCTGGACAAATAGTGATTCACACATATGTGGAGAATATACAGTAGAGAAATGTAGTAAAGAAATGCTGGTGGTTTTACACTGGGAAGTCAGGCTCATTTTTACATTTTTTAAACAGCTTGGTTAATTTATGTACTTATTTATTGGCAAGGATGGGTAAAAGTTTACCTGATGAAAACTCTGCCTTCACCACAGCCTGCTTTTCTGTTTATCCCTCTACATTCTGGACTAGAAGATAGTGTATCTTTCATTTGCAGTTTCGTCAGAAATTTCTGTGAAGGAAACAGCTCCTAAAAACAAAATGAGAGTCATTTATCTCCTTTGCATCTATGGCAGCAAAGCCCCAGTTCTGGTTGGTGACGGCTCGCTCTGCTCCTCTGTGCCAGTCCCCCCAAGGGTTGCTGAGCTTTCACAGGCTCTGCAGGAGCAGACACGGGTTGGTGCCTCCAGGAAGCACTTGGCCCACTCATCACACATTTCCAGACATATTCTCAGCTAACGCTTACTGTCTCTCCTGGAGCAGGGCAGAAAACAGAGGCACTAAGACTCAGTCCTGCCTCCGTGGGAACGTAATGGACAAACATTTGAATAATGACTAAACAAAGGGCTTTTAGCTGTGAAACAGTCCATGATGGGTTTTTTTTGCTTTGTTTTTTTTAAGTAAGCTAGAGAGATTATTTTCAAATTTTTAAGTTTTAGCTGATATGGTCTAAGGATGCATGATTGCCTTGCTTAGTCACTTAAGTGAAGATGTATGTTTGATTCGGTTGCCTGAAATGATTTAAATTCTAGTATCGCAGGTGCTGATTTAATCTCCAGTAATTTTTTCCTTTTAAAGAAGTGGTGTGGTAGAGTTCCCAAAGTGCGGGCTTTGTGGGGATGTATATAGCTCAGTGGTAGAGCACATGCTTAGCATGCGCAAGGTCCTAGGTTCAATCCCCAGTACCTCCATTAAAAAAAAAAATTTTAAATTTAAAAAAGTGTGGGGTTTGGCATCAGACAGACCAGAATTCAAATCCCTCATTATCATTCGCTGTTTAACCCCAGGCAGTTCATTTAATCTCTCTGTACCTCCATTTCCTCATGTATAAAATGAGAGTAACACCTACCTCCCAGGGCAGTTGTGAGGTCAAAATTAGAGAACATACATAAACACATAGCATGGTTTCTAGCAGAAATGGAGTTCTCAACAAATATAAATTCTGACATCACTTAAGGAAAAAAAATTACAAAATGGGAGACGGGACATGACTTTAGCTTTCTCTAGTTTGTACAACTTTTGTGCAAAAAACCCCACAAGGCCCATTAAGAGACACTGATCATGATTAGAGTTATAGGTGAATTGTTTGACCATAAAACAGTCCTTATAATATGGACAACATATTGTAAAACAATGATTATAGAAGAAGACAGTGTTCCTAGGGTACTAAGGATACATGAGTAAGAGCAGGGAGAAATAAGGAGCTGTCTTTTCTGATTGTAAAGTGAATACTCCTCAGCCCAGCCAGAGAGAATCAGTGTGTTTAAGCTAAGCCTTTGCTAGAGGGAATGATAAGACAACCCGTTATTCAGTCAACAAACAAAATTTGGTAACCTGTCAAGTTTTCATGAATTCCACGCATATCCTATAAATTCTATCCATAGAAATTTCCAGTGGCCCTTCCCCCTTGTAATTTTAGATCCTTTCTAGCCGCTGACAGCAGAGGCAGAGGAGTCCAGGAGAGTTTCTGTAAATAGATGACCTTAAAATAAATTCTGTTCTCCCAAACTATGCTGGAAAATGCATACACTAGAAATGTTTATTAAGCATTCCCTGAAAAAAAAAAAAAGGCTTCACAGCCAGAGAAGTTTGAGAAACAATGGATTAAACACCCAGGTTTCTCTCCTGCGTACTTTTCAGAACCGCCCATATGCTAACGGACAGCTCCAACAAGGTGACAGAAATAATACTGTTCGGATCCAGTTTGGTTTCTTATCATGAAGACTTCCTGGACCACATCAACCCAGAATGATCTCTCCATTTATTATTTTATCTCCCCATTTATCATTTGCTTTAGTTTTGTTCATGATTATTAGTTATTTATTCTTATTGATATACATGTGTATTTTCTGCCCAACTTGAGATGTAATACAATATTGTGGTTAACTTGCCTGAGTTTGTGGCTTGATTTTACCACTTACGAGGTGTCTGACCTTGAGCAAGTTTCCAAACTTTTGGTGTCTCCATTTCTTCATCGGTAAAACGATGATAAAAATATCACCTATTTCACAGAGTTTCTGAAGATTGAAAGAGTGCATGCACATAAGCATTTTGAACAGTGCCTGGCACACAAAAAGCATCAGTGAGTATTAGCAAAGACCAGCCTCTCCCTCGCCGCCCGTTGCCCTCTCAGACCCCACCTGTACATTCCTTGATAACAGGTATAACTGTCCTTTTTAAAAGATTCTCCGTAGTGCAGAACAGAAAATACAAAACAAACACTTCTTAAATAAAGAACTTATCTTTGATTGATAAATTGAACATCATGTCAGAATATATTAACATTTAAATCCAAACAGGTAAGTTCTGATTGTAACAATAAATGTCCAAATAATTTGAATGTCGATGTTGTTTTTCGATTTTGCTCATTTCTGTCTGGTAGACTCACATGGTTTCTAGGAACATGATTTAGGAAGGCAATAGGTTTTCTCCTCCCAGTTCATGAGCCTACTCTTCTGTGGTAAGAGCAAAGCCAAGTCTCCTGAAGAGCTTGATGCCCAAAGATTTCTAGTTTTTTTCTTCCATCCAAATGGAAAAGAAACTTAGAGAAGAACCACACAATTGCTTCCTTTGCAGCACTAATAAAAGGCCTCTTTGTAATACACAATCCAAGAAAAGATGGAGATAAATCCCAATCCTCATCATTTGAAAAGAACATGACAGCAGCAGATGTCTCCTATTTTATCTTTGTTTCAAGCACTTGAGATCACACATAACCAACTCCTGCTCCCCCCCGCCCAGGAAGCAATTACATGTGCATTTTTTTAAGATGTCAGCAAAGTAAGCCTAATGGACCAAAATGAAGGGTCAGTTCTTAGGGTTATTGATTCCTTCCCACTTCCCACTGCTATATTTTTGTGTGGATCTTTCTAACCAGAGAGTCAGACTTAACGTTTCAACGGACTTTCATCCACATTTGAAGAAAAATAACTTACAAATGAAAACAAAATACCAATACTGTCATATACTAGCATGAGTGAGAAATACATTCCAGAATTACAGATTTTCCAGTGTTGACATGACCAACTTAGGGAAGAACAAGAAGTTCTGAGAGACCTATCAATACTCGGATTACATGACATGCCACAAGATACTTCTTAGATGCTTCTACTGACTTTAGTTGTTAAAAATGTATTAATCATATTAATCACCCCACTAAAAGCTTACCAAAAACTACCTCTGCATCTGAAGCTTTCTTTATCCTAAACTCTAATGGGAAGGTTGAGTTTTTTGGGGTTTTATTTTTTCCACTCCAGTCAACTTTAGCTTTAACAGCGGGTTTCCAATTCTTAAGCATGATTGAGGGCGTGTCTAACTCCCACCTACGTAATCACCTACGTAAGAGGCAGGCAGGCAGGCAGGTTAAGGCCGCTGCCCTGAGGGAGGTTGTTAATCCCTACACAGTGAATCCCAGAGGCTCTGGTACCAGCCTCTGAGCAGGAAGAGATGAGGAGAGCCTTCGAGGGGGCAGGCAGGCCCCAGAGCAAGGGCTGTGCGCCGGGCCTCAGGCAGCTGAGAGTCTGGGTCTGGGCGAGTGCCGTGGAAAAGTGCGCTGGGTTTGAGGGGTGAGAGGAGGACAGCTGACTGGAATATCAAAAGTACCTACTGCGTGTTGGTAAGGTTTTCCTGGGGCTGGAAAACAAGCCACACAGCAAGCCATGACTGGACGTGATTGTTTCTTCCCTGTTATGTTCAGAGCTAAGTGATTCAAGGATGCACATTTTTTGCACATGATTGGCGAAAGGAACGCTGCGCTCTTGGAAGATGTCAAGGATGTCATTCAACTTTGTCCATGTAAGTCAAATCACTTGTAAGAAGTGCTCTCTGAGGCTTAACTTCATTTCAGAAACAGTAATAATAGATATTTTACAAGTTTGCGAGTTTGTGTCCCCAGCACCCTGTGAGGCCAAACAAACGTCCGGAGTTTGAAGCAGAGAGAGGTTTGTTGCAGGGCCAAGCAAGGAGAGCGGGTGGCTCGTGCCCTAGAAACCCCCAGACTCCCCAAAGGGTTTCAGCTGAGCATTTTTAAAGGCCAG